GCTGGAGTGGCCGCGGGGGGGTCTGGAGTCGGGCGGCCGCTGGCGGGGGACGCAGTCGCCCGGGCCGAGATTGGGGGGGCAAGGCGGGCGACAGAAGGCCGATGCCTCCGTCGCCCGGCCCTCTACAGAATCCACCCCCCAAACCTCCAGGTATTTCCCTCCTTAGAGCTGGCAACCCTACATTCCCCTCAGTGCCTGTTGGTAGGCAACTAAGCTTGGTCCTGTCACCTACTTTGGCCTTTGGGAGAAAACACATTGGGGCCAGTCCTGATAGGGTTGCCAACTCCAGATGGGAAATTCCTGGAGATTTGAGGGATGGAGCCTGAAGAGGGTGAGGTTTGAGGAGGGGTGGGACCTCAGACAGGTACACTGCCATAGACTCCACCCTCCAAACCAGTCAGTCCCACATAGGGAACCATTGTTGCCAATCTCCAGGTGAGGGCTGGAGAGCACTCAGAATTACAACTGCTCTGCAGAAGGGAGGGCAGAAGTCAGCTGAAGTCAAAGGGGCAGATAATGGTAGGTTGATAGTTAGCTGGGAAGAAGATGGGGTTACCAACTACATGCTGACAAATTCCTGGAGATTTGAGGGGTGGAGCCTGGAGAGGGTGGGGTTTGCAGAGGGGTGGGACCTCAGACAGGTAGAATGCCATAGACTACACCCTCCAAACCATCCACTTTGTCCTGGGTAACAATTGCTGCCAATCTCCAGGTGAGGACTACAGATCACTCACAATTACAACTGCTCTTCAGGTAGCAGAGATCAGTTCCTCTGGAGAAAACAGTGGACTCTGTCATTATACCCTGCTGAGGTCACCACAGCAAATTGACACTGTTTGCCCAAAGCCAGAGCACTCCCCCAGAGCCTCTTTCTAGATCCCGTTGTATTGCTTTCACAACGGGCTTTACTGCTAGTAACTTATAATTCAGCTGACTGGTCCTTCCTGATGCCCCCCTCCCCATCTTTCTGTATATAAGACTTGAAGAAGTTTTGTTTCAACTTGTCTAAGGAAGTGTGCTTGCACACGAAAGCATACACCTTAAGCAAAACTGTATTGTTCTTAAAGGTACCATTGGACTCAAACTTTGTTCAGGGATTGTCCTAGTTACTTCTTGGATGGGAGAGCGCCAAGGAAGACCAGGGTTGCTACACAGACCAGCTCTGAATGTCTCTTGCCTTGAAAACCCGACAGGGCCACCATAAGTCATCAGTGACTTGGTGGCACTTTCCACCACCATGTTCATCAGGATAGCGAAGTGAAACCTCCCAGTTTAGGTACAAGATAACTCTGAATAGCCCCCCAAGATAATGACCGCCTTTATGACTTCCTTGTTGGCCTCACAGAAGCATCTGGCTGGCCACTGGTGGACCCAGGAGGCTGGGCCAGCTGCATTCTGATCTGATCTACCGGGGCTCTTCTTACGATTTCCCATTCTTCTGCTCACACACATGAAGCTGCCCTATACCTGGCCAGACCATTGGCTTATGAAACTCAGTGCTGTGTACTCTGATTGGCAGTGCCTTTCTGAGATCCAAAGTATAAGTCTTTCAAGTCACCGACCACCTCTTCCGTTTGACTGGGAATGCTGGGGATTGAACCTGAGATCTTCTGCATGGAAAGCAGAGGCTCTGGCTATTGAGCCACATCCTCGTCTTTTCATTGCAGATCACAACAAAGGGGATGAGGTTTTGGGTTTTTTTTTAGAAACAGGAACCCTGCTGGGGGATTTAAATGAATCTGAGGAGAAGACATTCTTAGCTTTTAAACCATCATGCCAACACACAATTTTTTGATTTGGGGGCTTTTAAATCTGATGCAATTTTTGAATTTGGAGCACATTTTCACATCCTGGGTTGGCTCGTAGCTTTTTTGAAAAGTATGTTTCAAGTGCTCGTGGTAAGTATCTGGCTTCAGCACAAAGCCCTGTGCTTCAGCCTAAAAGAATGCAGTGAATACATCGGCTGACACCGTGTAATCCATCTTGAGTCTCAGTGAGAAAGGCAGACTATAAATGTAGTAAATAAATAAATAAATTTTGAACTGAAAGCCAGTGTGCTGAAATGCATCACGTGCTGGACTAGAACTGGAGGAACCTGGCTGCATTCAAATCCACACTCTGCCCTGAAGTTCACTGGGTAATCATGGGCCAGGCTCTCTGTCTCTCACTGTCTCTCACTGTCTCTCACTCAGGCTCTCTGTCTCTCACTCAGGCTCACCTACCTCACAGGGTTGTTGTAAGAATAAAGTCAAGGAGGGAAAGAAGAAGAAGAGGAGGAGGAGTCTGGATTTATACCCCGCCCTTCATTTGGAGTCTCAGAATGGCTTACAGTCTCCTTTCCCTTCCCCTCCCCACAACAGACACCCTGACCGATTTCACACAAGAGCTGTGCCGCGGTCACGCTTCCCTTTGCCCCGCTTCTATTGATCAATTTCCCACTGGAAGTCGCGCGGCCGCATTTTGACCCGCAGCGTCACCTGATTTTCCCCGCGGTTTCGTGATCCTCAAAAAACAGGATCACGAAACCACGGGGAAAATTGGGCAAAGCCGCGGGTAAAAATGTGGCTGCACGGCTTTGAGTGGGAAATTGACCAATAGAAGCGGGGCAAAGGGAGGTGCGACCGCGGCGCAGTCCTTGTGTGAAATCGGTCTCTGTGAAGTAGGTGGGGCTGAGAGAGCTCTGAGAGAACTGCTCTTGAGAGAACAGCTCTGAAAGAACTCATAACTGACCCAAGGTCGCACCAGCAGCTGCATGTGGAGGAATGGGGAATCAAACCTGGCTCTCCCAGACTGGAGTCCGTGCTCCTAACCACTACACCAAACTGGCTCTCTCAAGATCCATGTCCTGACCAATGTTCCCTCTAAGCTGTGGAGTCTTGTGAGCAAAAATTCTACTTTGTGAGCTACTGGCGTTAAAGTTATGAGCAAGCAATTTGGCTACTGCCTAAATTAGTTTGCTCTGGAGCCATCCTTCCTGAGCTGAGACAAAAATGTGTGAGTCGGAGGCTAAAAACTGAGCTAGCTCACAATAACTCAGCTTAGAGG